AGTACTGAAGTGTTTCTGAATGCAAAAGGCTTAATCAAATGGTAGATTACACGGAATAATCTCGATAATTTAAAATACAGACGGTTATCAGCCTTACTACGTAGTTTAGTCAGGTAGGGAAGCATATTTGTTGGGTTTAAATCAACACGACAGGATCTCAACCCCAATACTTACACTTGTTAGGGTCGTTTATGTCAATCGTGTGTTTTTATTTTTCACTTGAAGGCGTAGCTGTTGTATTAAATGTGCGACGTAAACAACTGGACACATCCAGACACATTTTAAAGGTGGGACAAGAGTGTCTGAGATGAAGTAGATGGTCGTTGGTGAGCTGATGATAGCAAAGGATTGATGATATGGTCAATAAAACCAGACTGAATGTTAAAAAAAAGAGGTGCAAAGTTGATTTTGAAAGCACAAATTTGATAAAACCCCATCCACATATCATCCATATATGAATCATGTGGCTTTATTTTGGAACAGTAGCGTCTGTGTAACGTTCAATTTACCTCAAAGGTGTTTATTATTCTCGTTAAAGCCCTTTGAAGTCCGGAGGAACAGTGGCGCCACGTTTTTAGTTGATGCAAATTCATTTGAGTCCATATGAATAAAAATTTACTGACTATTTGGTCTATAAAACCTCCAGGTCGTCTTTAATTAGCTGTCTGTTGGAATGTAGTCCTGATTTCCCCTTAAAATGAAGCAGAGACACTTTACAGGCATGACAGCAGGCCTTCACTTATAAACTCGTGTTCACGCTGAGCGAGCGGAGGTAATTTCAGTTCAGCCAACAAGTTATTGCTAAACTGTGAATATTGTTTAAGAGGAGTGCAGCAACACTGGTGAACTCGTGTCCATCTACACAAGCTATTTTCTCATTACTAGCGTATAATATTACAGAACAAACGTCCCTTTATCCTCTGAATTGTGTTTTATTTGCTCCCGTCTTTAGATTCTGTCCAGAAAGCCTCGTTTTTCCAATTGTTTTACATGCAGACTGTGCAGAATCCAGATTTACAGAAGAAATGGTTTCCAGTTTCCCAGAAGTTGCCAATTAATTGGGTAAAGGAACGCAAAACACGAGGAAGGGGGAGACGGGTTGATTTTCAGGGAAGGATCTGTTACCAACCTGGACAAGAAAGCTCCTTTTTATTCACCGGAGCAAACTTCCTCATCCAGATGTCAGCACATTTCAGGGTCAAAGTCAAATAGCAGGCTGTTTGGCAGGGCAGTGGTACGAGCTGAAGGCTCCTCGCAGCAGATAAAACATGTTTATTGCACAGAGAACTTTGTATTGAGTCTGGTGTTTTCGTTGGATCATCATGTTTCAGCGCTCAGGAGGTTAGAAACCAGACGTCGGGCTTAAACGTGTCAACAAAGATGGTGATAAACAGCGCTGATGTTTTATTTTTGCGGGTACAAAGTGTTATCAAGGGGCCGCAGGAAGCAGTAATGCATCAAAGATATAGTTGTGCATCCCTGAATAAATGTTTTTTTTGCTGTTTGTCCTGCAGTCTTTGTCTCAGCGATACCAGAGGCAGATTTCTTCGGCAGTGAGAGGTGAGAAACCGAAACCACGACAAGAAAACTCATCTATTAGTCACCTAATACTGATTCTTGAAGGGTTTTTGGTTCCATTCATTAGCATCAGACGCAACTTTCTTATGCATTCATGCAATTCTTTGTCCTCTCTCTGCATTAGATGAAGTATCTCGGGTGCTGCCCTCACTTGTAATGGAGGACAGGGCTTCGCCTCGCCCCAAAGTCGCAGCTCACGTCACTGGCAGCTTCGTGCCCAAACTGGATCGAGACGAAGGAGGTGAGTCCTGCCTGAAACTGACTACAAGCTAATCTGTGTGGCGCTTTAAAAACAAAAAACAAAAAAAAAAGGGACATAAATAATGTATGACTTATCGACCGGGGATCGGTGAGAGCTGCTTGCTGAGGTGAGAAAACACACAGTGGGAATTAGCTTTGGTTTGGGAGCGTCAACACCACAAAAAACACTAAATTACACCATAAACTAAGGGAGCGTGACCGGGATAGCGTGTTAGGTTTAGCCATTTTAATTAGGCCTGAGGTGGACACAAAGGGTTTAGTGTGAAAAGCTTGGCGAGGAAAGACGTACGTTCACATAAAGAGCTGAGAAAAAAGGATGAAAGGAGATACTTCAATTACAAAAGTAATGACGCTGTTTTGCTTTTTTTTCGGGCTACCAAACGCTGCCTTAACATCCCATAATGCAGCAAGCTTTGACAACAGACCGTATATAAAAGATGGACGTAGCAACCATGATGTCACCCGTTGGATTCTGCCATAAAGCTTCGAGTTTGGTCGTCATTATATTCGTCTAACGAGCGAGGAGTGAATCTAATAAACATCCCGCTGTATCGTCCGTTTTCCTCTACAACGTTTAAAATAAACATCGTAGGCAATCGAGACGAGCTGAGGCAACAGATCAAGTGATGAGCAGGGTCATTTCCTCTTAAACTTTGTCTATAATCAGACTTAGGAGTCGCCCCCTGCTGGCTGCTAGAAAGAATGCAGGTTTTAATGCACTGTCTCACCAGGAGGCTGCGTCCATCTTCTTACATGCAGTCGATGGTCGTCCTTAACGTTTGATAACATCACAAACCTTCACCTTTCCCACTGTGGTGACTTTGTTCTGGACTGTTTCTACTTTAACACCACTTATCGGCGTCTGATTAAAGGCTATAAACTAAACATCTCCCTCTCGTATGCTACAGACTCGCAGTCTTAGATGTCACGGCTTCGTTCAGCCTGGTTCTACTTTATATTTAATGTATTCTTTATTTTCTGGCTTCAGCGCCGGTGTTTGCCGGACGGCGGGTTCAGGGCCAGAAGATCTCGTGGTGGGAGGGCCAGAAGGGGCTGGCCTTCCTCCAGGACGTCCAGCTGGTGGACGGGGAGCTGGTGGTGCCGCAGCCCGGCCTCTACTACGTCTACGCCCAGACCTACTTCAGACACACCCACTCCCTGGAGGAGGAGGGCGAGGACGGCGAGGAGGCCGAGGACAGGGGGAAACCTCTGCTGCAGTACGTCTATAAAAAGGTGAGTCTTCCTCTGGTTGTCGCGTTGCCCGTTTTGGTTTGACCTTTATCAGCTGCCATGTTGTGGTGGATTATTATTTTGGACTCAGCATTTCTGGTGTGAGTCACTTTTGGATGAATATTTAAACTTCAGCTGGAATTAGATCCATATTTTCGGGGGGATTTCCTCAGACTGAATTAACTCCAGTGACCTCTAAGTTGCACTAAAAAACCACAGACGGATGATTCACTGGGAGGTTCGTCAGGACGGTTTCCTCCGAGTGCGATGACTCCAGTGACTAATCCACAGCTTGTGCTGCATCGTCGTTTTCTGCTTCGTCACATTCGCGTAAAAATGACCTCGCCTGTCCTCCTCCCGCTAGGTGAGCTCCTACCCGGTTCCCATCCTGCTGATGAAGACCAGCCGGACCTCCTGCTGGTCCCGGGGCTCCCAGTTCTCCCTGCACTCGGCCCACCAGGGGGGGCTGTTCCCGCTCAGCACCGGCGACCGCCTCTTCGTCACGGTGACCAACGCCTCCGCCGTGGACATGGACGAGAAGAGCAGCTTCTTCGGGGCGTTTCTCATCAGCTAGAACGGCGTCGGGATCGCAGATTGAATTCTTCTAGATTCAAAAACTGCAATTTACGGGATTGTTTTTTTTTTTTTTTTAAAGAATCACAAACCAAAGAACTTTGACAACACTGGGTTCGTCGGCGGAGGAGAGGATTTGGGGACGTATGCGTGTGAGCTAATCAGACTCGACACATTTTTTGTATTGGACCGAACTGGACAGAGATTGTAGTTTCTGTTGTGCAAACATTTCTTTAAGGCAGAACTTTTGTCAGTTTTTCAAGGATAATTTTAATATACACACATTCAGGTCATCAATTAAACCCCTAAATACTGAACTCTGAAGTTTAGTCCATGACAATAATCCCTTCCTTCTGTAAATGCAACCCTTTAATCCATGTTTGAGCCACTAAGAATAACGATCAGCACAACCCAGGTCTAAAGTTTCCGGTTAAAAGCAAGAAACTGATTGGAAGGGGGTGTTTTTAAAAAAAGTTTTTCCTCCTAATTTAACTAATTTACACATTAAGCAGACGTCACAAAGGTTCGCTAACTAGCTGAGTTAGCCAACTAGCTCATCTAAACGCTGCAACGCTATTTTTAGTTTCAGCTACAAATGCTAACGTCTGCCACCTACAGGAAACAAAAGCAACAGCAGCAAATTTAGACGCAACACAAATTCCACAGCATCAATTTGTTTTCAAGCACAGCATCAGAAAAAAGCATTAATGGGAGACGGAAACACTTTTTTCCCCCCCTCTAAATAAATTCTGATATAGTGAACATTTATTCACCTGGTTGATCAGCTGCATGAAAGATTTTGAACTTTCATGGCTGAAAATAATTTCTGAAGACTCTGGTTCTTGTCCTGCTTATTACAGTCATGTAACCTATAGCGCCACCTTCTGACAACACCGTGCACATGACCATCACTTCTTTACAAAACAACCGAGTTCTGCCATGAGGAAATGTTTGTATGCAACTCTTTGGTCCGTCTGGTCCACTGGCATAAATTTTAGGTGAATCTCGAGATGCGTGTTTGTTAAAAGATGTAAATATTGTGCCATATTTTTGTAATAAGCCTTCAAATACGGAGTCTGGACCTTCTTGTGAACTCCTGATTTTTGCCTGGAGGCTGGAATCATGAACTTAATTTGCTGATCATAGACTCCTGCTGCCGTAGAGGAAGCAGCTGCCCGTGTTCACAGCCGTACTGGAGGATTAAAGATGTCATTTTAAGCTCTCGTTTTGCGAGTTTAACAGTTAAGTTTTAAACACTGCTGCTTACAAACAAGACGTTGTTGGCAGCAGCGTTGAAGCCTCTCGTTCAGCTGTCAGTCCTCCAGTGCGTTGGCCTGAACCACGGCAACGTTTCTCTTAAACGCTCCCTCACGGTTGGAATTCGTGTTGTGTTGGATTAAGTGCAGATGTGACTCGCAGACTTGGAAAACAAACATCTGCATCAAAACCGGAGGAGCTGTGTTGTTTATTTTCTCCAGCTCTGCTGTTTCTAACAAGGCATGATGAATGGTTGAACTGCAGCAAGTTGTGTTTCAAGGAGACACAAGCAGAAATCTTATATTTGAGTGAAGACGCATCAGTGACTGTAACTGACCAAGCTGGAGTTAGTTTTCAGTCTAGAAAATATTAATTTAATTAACTCATGGTTTGCTTACTGGATTTCTTTCACAGTTTTTGAGCTACAGCTTGTGGTCTTCATCAACTGATGGTGTTAGCTTGGGTGTCACGTGGAGAGCTCAGACCTCCACCAGGGTTCATGATCGTATCGTATGATTTTACATAAAGTTATCCAGATTGACACCAAAATTTACAGAATCCTTCCTTTGATCATGTTCAACATCTCCACCAAGTTTCAACGAATTCGGCTCGCAAATTTTTCTGCAAACGTGCTAACAAACCAGCCAGAGGCACTAAAACCGACTGCCGGATGCTTTTTTTGCCAGTATTATCATAACAGTCAAGAACAAAGTAGGTTACGTTCACTGATGCTTCCAAAACTATTTGCTGTTTTTTTCCAACATGACACGAATGCATCCATCACTGTAGCACTTATGTAAATATTTTTTAAAAAGTCACATTTTCTCTGTTATTTGCTGTTTCGGTAGGACTTGTTTTATGCAGTGGCTGTTTTCGGTTTAGTTCTCTGGCACCAAACGCGATGCAAAACGGACAACAGTGGTTTTAGGTTTAATTTAACAATCTGCGGCGTCGTGTCCTACATAAACTGTCCACGCTATCGCCCTGTTGTGAATTAAGACGGACTTACATGCAGCCTCCACGTGGAACAACCAGCAAGCTTCCAGCTGTTTTCTTTGTCCGTCGGAGCTCCAACACCTGCAAGGCATCAAACAGACAGAGCTGCACAGTAAAACAGGCCGTTTGATGTTTCAGACAAATTGAGTGTTTTTTTTTCTTTTTTTGCAGATCGTTAAAAATGAATGTGAATGTAAATAAACAAGTGTTTGTGTGTAAATATGTGAAATAAAACTGGTGTAAAAAAGCAGCAGGGTTCGAGTTCCTTGTTTACGACTCAGTAATCAATCAATGAGGCGACATATTGATCGCCATCGATGCTAAACATCTACACACCTACACTCCAGCTAGCTGAATTACTGTAGCTTCATTTCTCTTCTGTATTTACACATTTTGCAAACACTGTCCTAAAAATATGTCGGTAATGTTTCGTATATTTAGTACCGATGGTTACCAAGAAGTTGCATAACTGATTGAGCGATTGCATACAAGGAAAAGCAGGTTTCAGAGTGCTAAGGTTTGCAAAATAAAATCGTGAAAGTCCTGTTTGACAGCACAGTTCAACATGAAGACAGACGGCGATGTAGATCTGCTGTTTGTCAGATGGACATCGCTCCTTTCGAGGTCTACAGAGGTAAAAGAAAACTTAAGACTTTTACAGTTTTGGTGGCTCTCGGTTAAATTATTGAAAATAAAAATGTGTAGTTGCAACAAAAGCTGAAAATAAAAGCAGAAAAAGTGACCTCACCTGCAAAATGAGTCGTTGAAAAAGCACTTTAGAACAGTTGACTCGACATTTTAAGGCCAGTTCTGCCCCCTGCTGGTGGATAAAACACATTACTGCAGCACAAAGTCCTACGCTGCCCTCTAGTGTCCATCCAACGCAGTGCAGCGCAACGGAAATGACGGACAAATAACCACACGACACCTTGTAAGTTTTTGATTTTCTTTCTTTTTTGTGGAAATATGTTACAGTTATATTACAGGTATTTAAATGCCCAGAGGGAGAACAAAAAAAAAACTGTTTGGAGACACCAGAAACTAACACTAAGAAGAAGAAGAAGAAGACAGCAACTTAACCGAGACAGAAACAGTCCGGACCGGATCGACAGACTCGACTCGACAGGCAGAACGGGGGGCGAAAAAAAACGAGGCCCAACACGTAGCCTATGTTAGGAGACGTCCAATAAATACTGCAAATGTTGTTAAATCATTGAAAACAAACGAAAAAAAAAAACAAAAAACGACGAGGAAAACGGGTGCGCTCTCCTTCTTTGAGTCCTTTGTAGTATTTAGCAGCATGTGTGTAGCTTCCAGAAACCAAAAGACTTGTGAGAAACAGCGCGCAGGGCCTGCAGTCAACCAGAGCTTTCAACACAAGTAAGAACCGATGAGAAGTGTGTTGGTGGTCTGAAGCTGTGTGTTGGGGGGGAAGAAGTGGGAAAAGTGCTTGATACAAGAACACGCAAACATGTCGAACAGCAAACCGGAGGGGGTAGAAGTTCTGTTTCGCCACCATTTAGTTTTTAACGTCTGGATATTTGGTAGTTGAAAAGTGGCTCACAGAGTATAAACATTCAACAGGCATCATCAAAACTTGGCTGGTGGTGTTCGATTCACATCCTGGTGTCAGAAATGGGACTGTTGTTTTGGATTTATTTCTTTTTCTGTGTATTGTTTTAATTCTGGTGTTGCAGCGGAGTTTACAAAACGCCGCCCATCTTTTTTACCGGTGTGAAAATATTCTGGTTGAATGCAGATTTGCCCCCCTGCACCGGCTTCCGTTGGTTTTTAATCGTAACTTATAAAATATATCATAAAATGTCTTCTTAAATGGAAACTGATGAGTCCATGTACAAAAAGTTCTTTCTTTTATATAAATTACACCAGTCTCTGATGATGATGATGATGACGATGATGATGTCTCCGTTCCTGCTAATCATCTCCAAACCGGATCCTTACCCTCATACATACATACATACACACTCACATGCACGCACGCGCACACACACACACACACACACACACCGAGGCGTGTGACCGCGGCGGTCGACACTCCCGACTGAGCTACACAACATGCTCTACACATTACCCATAGTAGAGAAGGAAACGAAAAGAACTCTATCCCCACTTGAAATGAAACCTCTGCACATACAGTAACGCTACATCTCCTCCTCCTGCTCCTCTTCTCTGTATGCAAGACCACAAGCATGGTGCAGTTTCGGGCGTTGGACGGAGGGCGACTCCTCAGCTCCGGCTGGTGACCCTCGCTGCCGCCTGTCACTGTAGCTGCCTAGTTCCGGCTCCGCCACTGCGGGCCCCTGGCTCGACCCGGTCGGGTGACGCCCGGCGGTCGGGGGTGGGGCGGGGAATGTGCGTGACGACCGACCGGAGGAAGGGGCGGGGCCTCAGCAGTCGAACCGCATCTCCAGCGAGTCGTCGAAGCCCCGGTTGTCGTGGCCCGCCCCCGACAGGAAGGTGGCGGTGACGGGCGCCCCCGTAGCCGTGGTGACGTTGAGGAGGGCGTTGCCGGGGGAGCTGGTTGCCGGGCTACGGAGCGCCGCCGCGGTGATACTGGTGAGGTTGATGCCCAGCGTGAGTCGGGTCTGTTCCAGGGCCTTCTCTGGCACGGCGAAGGCCTCCAGCTTCTTCTCTCCGTTGGCCATGTAGGAGTTCTGGCAGCCGCGGCAGATACAGTCCAGACAAGCCTGCAGTCATAATTAACAACAACATGGTTTAATAAACAATGACAACAACAGAATAACAAATGATGTAGTGGTTACAAGGCTGACACAACACAAAGGTTCAAGTAAACAGAAGAAGCAGACCTGAGGCTGCGAGTGTTTTTCTAACAACTCTGTAAATCAGGCAAAGTTTGGACACCACATGAAAAGTTTATGGGACATTTTCAAACTATATTTGCCAACAGACGGCGTGATTCAGTCGAAAGCTCCGAATAAGAGAGGTCAAGTTGTTCAGTCAACAGAAAGATTTAAGCTCCAAGTGTGACACGCGCTGTCACTGGCTGTAAATCAGCAGCGCTGCTAATGACACGGCTCATACTAACAGCAGATGAATTCATAAATTATTCAGACTTGTATAAACTACTGTGAAGCGGAACAGATTGTGCAGCGGTTTGCCTGAGGACGTCTGGTTCATTCTCATTTTCTACTGTACAGTTTGAAGTGCTTGACCACATGAAAGAAACATCTGTAATAAACCGTATACTATTTTCTCTTTTGTTGAAGTCACATATTTGTGAGTGAAACAACAACAGCTCAAGTAAACGCTGCCAATCTTTTATCTAGATGATTTGAACAAGCCAATTTATTCTTATTGTTCTTCATTTTTTATTTTATTGCTTTGTAAGTTTGTGTAATTTATATTTATGATGTCACTTGAACTCTGAAAAGGATGCTGCTGCAGAGGTTCAACCCCCCACACACACATTATTAAACTACATCTGCTAAGTGTCCCATCTGTCAAAAGCTGTTTGAACTGCATAAAAACTGGACATTTACGTGAAGGAAACATCTGTAATAAGGAAAATACTATTTTTTCGTTTGTTTGAGTCAAATATTTATCATCAAAACATAATTTTGCTTAAGTAAAAGCTTTTGATCTTTACTTCTGGATGTTTAAAATAAGCAAATGCGTCTTAATTTTGCTACATTAGTGACATATTTTAGTTTTTTACTTTAAAAATTTAGATTCATGGGGTCATTTTAAGCTGAATAAAGTGCTGCTGCAGAGCTTTAACCTCTCCAGTAACCAAAGCTCTTCATGACTGTGTCAACAACAGTTCAACCCCACACGCAAACATGAAATCGAGTTAGTCATAAAAATGTAAACAAACAGGTAAATATAATCAGGCTCCCGGTGGGAATACAGTTTGCTGTTATGTTTTGACCTTCTTCACTTGGACAGAGCTACATCCACACATTAGCAGCGTCAGCAACAAGCTGAGTGACGCAGCAGCCTGTGGGGTGTTCATGCTGTAATTATGGAGGCAGCTTCAGGTCTGAGCTCACCTTGCGGTTGGAGTAACAGGGGCAGCGCTGCCCCCTACAGGTCAACACCGAGGGGTTCTGTGTGGCTCGGCCACACTTGCAGCCCTTCTTCTCCACAGGCTTCTTGTACAGTGGCTTCGAGGGGCTGGGGGGGTGAGTCAGGGGGTGAGCATGGGGGTGTGGGGGGACTCGGTCGCGGGGTTGAGCCCGGGGTTTGGGGGCCCCTTGCCTGGCCTTGGTGTAGGCCTTCTTGGTGGCCCCGTGGTGCTCCACAGTCTTTTTAAGTGCCTTGTTGGAGACAAGTACAGTCTTCCCCACTTTGGGGGGGCCGCCGTTGGGCACCGGGGCCAGGTGGGGGTGAGGTGTGGCCACAGGGAACTTGGGCTCCTGTTTGGTGGTGGCACCGGGGTTGGGGTGGTGGGGGGAGCTGTTGGCACCGATGGGGGGCCCTCGTAGGAGGCTGGAAATGGGGAGGGGCTGCACCTTCTCGCTGTCGCTTTCTGAGCGGGAGCGCTTGCGGTGGCACCGAAGGGGAACACGGGGGACGACTATGGAGGGCTGAGGGGGAGGCTGCATCGAGGGCTGCGGGTGAGGCTGGAGGGGGCGGGGGCTGTTCTCTGGGGGGAGGGAGGGGATGAGGCGGGAGGAGTCGGGGCCAGAGGGGCAGTGGGGCCCGTTGAGGCTGGACTGAGGTACGGAGGGGTGGCAGTCTGTGTGGGGGGTGGGCTCAGGAGGCGGGTCAGGGTCCGCGTCCGTCTCCAGAGTCCTGAGCACCTCCTCCACGCTCAGCAGTAGAGGCCCCCCGCCGTGTTTCAGGTCCTCTCCGAAAGTGCTGATGTCACAAAGCCCCGCCTCCCCGGTGCCCGTGACGCTCACGCACACCGGGATCTCCTCCGAGAAGCTCTCCTGCTTGGCGACGCCGCCACCCGTTTCTATGGTGATGGGCTGCAGCGCGTCCGAGCCGACCAGGCCGTTACAGTCGTGCAGCCCGTTGATGCTCATCGGACTCGGCTCCTCGCCCTTGAGCTCCTTCGTGGGCGGAGCCTCATCGGGCTGCACCACCTCCGAGGTGGACGCCGACAACGAATCCGAAACATCCTCCGTCTCCGGCTCGCTCTCGGCCAACGTGAGGCCCTCGTTGAGGATAGCCTGGAGGTCCGGCGAGTCGCTGGCGGCGCTGGCTATGTGCGGGGCGAGCGGCGACTGGGTGATGTAGAGGCAGAGCTTCCTGTAACAGTGGACGAGCAACGAGAGCTGCCGGTTTTCCTCGAAGCAGGAATAGTCCTTACACCAACTGCAGGAGGGCTTCAGCTGCATCCTCTGACCCTTACAGCCTCGACAGACGTAATGCTGACATGATGAGTTGGTGGGAGCGATGGGGTCCTGCAGCAGGTTACCTGAGCACAAGAGGAGGGAGAGCAAACACATGAAGTGTCAGCACATCGCACATATCACAGGAACAGTACAGAACAGCTCACACTGATGATTAACGAACAGACTTTCACACGATCCAGAAAAAGCAACGCAGGCGCGGCGGCAAAATCCTCACTCGACTCAACAAACATGCCACGTTAAATTACGTCCCCGGCTTTATTTACAGCGTACAGACTTCCGGTTCCTCCTTCGCTATGTTTTCCTCAACTGATGTGTATTTGTAAACCTGAGCGGTGCTTGGCAACCCGCCAGACTGAATGACAGCTGCTCTTTGAGAGGAGCTTCCTTAGCAACGCTGGCCGCTAGAGAGTGCAGCTGCAGATCGGGGGAGAAAAAAAAGAAAAGAAAAAAGGATGAAGGTCCATTCATAACAAACAACCAACCCTACACACTCTGCGCTGCCTGTCTGGTAAATCCCACGTAACTGCATTAAGTCTATATTTAACACAACGTATGGACTGCCCTCGTATCGATCTATTATTAATGCCGTGGAGATGGACGGGGCTGCTCTTCTCAGTCCTTCTGCAATCACAGCAGCACAAACATCACCTTTACCTCGCACCGAACTGTGGCAAAAAAAAAACCCACCAATAACTCATAAATAATCCATACAGCCATCCATTTACTGAGAAGCTGCAAAAAGGTCAACCACGGCTTCGTCTGAATAAAAACATGAAACACAGGAACAGAGGGGAAGAGCGCTGCATTTTATGGAAGCCTGCATTAAATATACATCCGAAATAAATCAAAGGTGATGCTTGTTTACAATCTAGTCTCCTCTGGTTTAATTAAAAGCCTTACAATCATCAATTTCTACAGTAAAAACTTTAAACAGCAGGATTTCCTTCAAACTTTTGGCTGTGAATTTTTATTTGTTTTTGATTTTAAGGTGAGCTAAAGATGAGGTTTCCTCCATCCAGTATGTGGATGGAGTGTTATTCAACAAGACAAACAGAGAAACGCCCCGATGCTGCCAAACAGCACACAGAGGGGGGTGTGTCATGATGGGTGTAGCTGTGACCTACGGTGCCTTCACTGCGCATCGGAATTTACGCCTTCGGGATTCAAAAACTCAGCTTTTCATCAATAAATGGGTTAAATTACTTCAATATCGCAATGAAAAGATGATGACGGACAAACAAGACGTCTTAACAGAGTCACATGTCCAAAACTCACTCATGCAACTATCGCATAAAGACTCAAGTATCAGCTTTATAATGTGTTTGGAGATCTCAGCATCACAAGCGTCAGAGCTCACTACGCTGAAAAGCTGAATATTTATATTTATTTAACATCTGATTCATTAACTGGCGTTTTTGCTTCACTTTGCAAAGTATAAATAAGGGTTCTTATAAAACAACCTGCAGTATTTATAATTTATAGCACATTTAAAACAACAGACGATGAGCCAAAGTGCTCTGAAAATAGAGAAATAAGACGAATATGAATATTAAGGTGAAGACCCTACAGTAATTATATATTTATGTATGTATTACGTAAAATGTACTTAAGCGAGAAAAAGTGACATCAAATACAATTTTACCTGAATAATATATTAAACGATAAGATCTTAAAATATTAAATATAATTTACCTGAATAAATGTATTAAATGTTAAGACCCATACAATATTTCATAAAATATAAATCGCCTGTAATATCTAAATAAATATAACGGAGACATGTAAATATTAAGCTTAAAAACTCACAATACTGAATACAAAATAAAAATAAGTTCAGACTAATGCTATAACATATATACAAATATATTAAAGATTAAGATATTACAATATTATATGCAATGCAGACTTACCTGAATAAACGCATTAAAGGTTAATATACTATAACATAATTTATTACACAGATTTAACCTCGGTACATGTATTAAATGTTTAGAATAAAAATATTAATGAACCTTCATATACAAAGTAGTCAGGTGAAGACCCTATAATCTATAATCAACATAATAAAATGTAGAAGCTAAGCTGCATAAAAGTTACAGATTATATAAGTGCCTGAAATTACAGTTAAATGTTTACGTCCCATCACTACTCGAGCCGATACTGACAATTCCGACAGCCCCTGAATGCAGCATTATTTAAAGGCTCGCTCCCACTGAGAGGACAGCTGACAACAACGCACGTTACCGAGCCCCCTTCTCCCCAAAACACACGTTTATAAAAGCATGACACTACACTAATAATAAAATAAAATAAAATAAAATAAGAAAACAATACTATGACTCACCGCAGACCAGGCAGGACAGGGACTGGCGGAAGAACGGCAGCAGCTTGCAGAGCTCCGCAAGGGCCCGGGGGTCTCGGGGGTCGCACTGCAGCACCGAACGACTCGCGGACACGTAGAGAGAGGTCGCATTCACCGGGTTCATCTCAGCTGCCTGGGCCCGGTGGATCCAGTCCGGTTCCGGTCCGTTCAATATGTACGAATAACACCAAAGTCACGCGTAAACGCAAAGCCCGCAACTCCCGCGCCGTGTGTGGTTGAGTTTCTATCCCGGGAGTCGTCTGGCGGCTTTGAAGGGGGCATAGATGGACGCTTCAGATCGGTGAATCCCACGTCACAGCGGCAGCCTGCGCACGGAGCGATCCCGGTTACTCATCCCCCGGTCACATCCGACCCATCCTCCGTGCGCGGTCCCCGGCTGAAGGCGCTGCTTTGATCCGAGGCTGCACCAGCATTCACAGGCACCGAGCGCAGCAGCGTGCGGCGTCCATCCGGCTCGGCTCGCACCATGCGGGGGTTAGGATGAGACAAAGCATCGTGTGGCGCTCTCTCCTCCGCCGGTGGCCTTTTTTTTTCCTTCCTCCCTTTTTCTTTTTTTTTCTTTTTTTAAACGTTACTCACAGCTGGCTAACTAGCGGCAGCTCTGAAATTCAAACGGGGGCTTTCGTGACAAAGTGCTCCGGTTTGCATCGGTTTTCCCGAAATAAATCCATAGTCCGCATGCATGCTCGTCCCCGGTTCTTCACGTCGGTCCCGAGCTGGCCTCACACGATGCATTAATTACCCCGCACCGGGGCTCCTGTCCGGGCAGCAGTGCAGCCCCAGCAGGCTCGTTATGGTTGTGTTATTGTTCGCAGAGATTCATGGCGGCTCGAAAACAAAACAGGCCGCCCCGGCTCCGGAGGCTCCTCTACGGCGGGCAGCGCCGACAGCAGCGCCTCGGTGAGGGGGGAGATGTGTCACAGAGGAGCCGCGGGTATTAAAATAACAATTATCTCGAAGCTCCCGCGGTTCTGGCGGTGTGGGGAAAATTAAGCCAGCGGAAGCACCGGGCTCTGGTGACAGGGCTAGCCGCCTGAGCTGCACCGGGAAGCCGGCTACAAAAGCAGGCCGCGTCCCTCCTTCACGGGATTAGCGGGAGTGTGTCGGTGGCCGCCTCGGTGGGGATGTGGCGGGAAGCGGAGGGTTCGGCGGGAATTATGTCCTCCTGCAGCTTTCGGTGGAGCCCCGGAGTGTCGGCGGAGACCCGAGGTGGATTATTCCCGTATTTGTGTACGTTGCTATCGTTAGCCGCGGAATATTCCTCAGACCTCCCGAAGCTTCTCCACACACAAACAAGGGGGCGCTGTTTCCCACTTCTCGCGAGAACACACGTGACGCGGTTTATTTTTTAAAAACAATACAGTATACTGTACATTTATGAAGTGGAAAATTATTTATTCTGTCCCCCAAAAAAACACACAATATGTTCATTTTTAAAAAATTAAAATTGTAGTTTTTTCCTCCTTTTTTAAAATTGTATTTTTATTTTTTATTGAGCAACCTTTTAAAACCAAAAACTGTATATTAAAAAAAAAAAATAAAATCTATAGCATTTGATCAATAATTAGCATATTTGCCTAACTTTGACAAGTATAAATAAGGTTTCTTATTAAGTATATCACAACTATTAAACTACTAGCAGCAACTACAACTACTGTGTTACAAAATCAAAAAATGTACTCGACAAATTTAAATATTAAGCTTAAGACTCACAATAATAAAAATATCTATGAAGCAGAAAAGTACATATTCTGTCCCCCAAAAAGCACATAATATTTTATTTAATTATTTTTTAAATTAAATTTAAAAAATTTTTTTTTTGTTTTTAATGGGCAACAATTTAAAATCAGAAACCAAAAATTGTGTATCTTAGCATCAAACATATCAGTAGTCACTGTGCCGAAAAGCCAGTTATCTAGATTAGTTTTATTTCTATGCTATTTGATCAATAATTAGCATTTTTTCTAACCCTGTAAAGCCTGAACCATTAAATAATTGCCCAAAAAAAATCAAATTTTTTGAAATTTGAGTGTTTATTGAACCATGATAAATAAAAAAAAAAAAAAATAAAATAGCAATTTTCATATATGAGTTTTAATTTGTGTCATTTTTGCAACATCCTGCATTTTCAGTGAATGAATTACGATCGATGGTGGATTTTGTGTGCAGTGATTGTGTCTGATTGCATACATCAGATTTTTCAGGCAAAAAAAAATATCACACTGATGACGTCGAGGTCTCAAAAACTCACCTATCAAACAGATACAGAAGGCGTTACAGGGTTAACGGTGACACGTATAAATAAGGTTTCTTATTAATATTATCCCAGCTATTATGTCAAACTACTTGCAGTAACTATAAGTATTGTGTAAAGTTACAATTTTCCAATAAAACATATTCAGTTTGGTTATTTATATATGGCACCTTCAAAATAAGGTGTTTTTACGATAGAAAAATAAGTCTGATGTCACAAAATCTAAAAAAATTACCCAACAAATTTAAATATTAAGCTTAAGACTCACAATAATAAAGACATATTTAGTATAAAATGAAGTGTTCTGTCCCCAAGAAACAGAATATTTCCATATTTTGTGAACTAAATCTACTGGAACATTTCTAACTGGGACTACAGTGACATATTTCTTACAATGCACATTTAAATATGCAATTAATGATAAATAGATTATAAACAACTGTGTGGTGACATCATGCTGCTAAAATGTTTTACACAACGAGCTGACGTTATGGGGAAAATGAACGATGTAACCTCCTGTGATTAGTAAGAAGATTTCAGCGCATAAATCATGACTGAACTGTATCATGTCGTCAGATTACTCCCGTTTATCACATGTTGACTCGTCATCACAGGAAAAGCACAGGTGTTACTAATAACGTGACGCTAACACCACGCAATGAGCCGTGACGGTCGCGTGTTTGACTCCTTGAAGCTGCTAAATGCTCTTATAATCACATACACCTGGGCTTTCCCTCAACTTGTAGAGCTCTTTAACAATCAGTATAAATATGTTATTTGTGTCTTTAGCTGTTGAACTGTATTTTCTGTAAATTGCATTTCTCTACACGATGGTTTTGTGACACACACATGATGCTAAAATGCATTTCTAGCCTAAAAAATACAAAAATCATCCTTTATAGCGGCAGGTAAACGCCTCTTCATGTCGTTATAAACTCTATAAGTCTAAACCAGTGCTAGCTACAGCCCTGCTTGTCATACATGTTTAAAACTGTGCTGCAGTTCACGGATAAACACGCGGGGAGGTGCTGCTTGCAGGGCGAACCGAGACGAAACGAGGAAAAACGAGGCTCATCGTTGTTGTGTGACAATTTCTGTTTATCTGTAAAAATAGAAACAGCACCCACACAAACACACACTGATCTAAAAGTTGACACAACTCGCATGATGCAATCGCTCTGATAGCATCTATCAATACAACTCGCCCTTCCTGTACCCGCTTTTCCTTCCTCTATTTCTTTTGTCTGCATCGCTGCTGACCAGCAGGGAGTTTCCACTTTGTCACTGCTGCTCATAAAAATACCTCACAGTCAGGGTTAGTGACAGCGGCAGCAATTAGTCACAGAATTAATAATTATCAATAAAAGCTGCCAAATATTGTCAGGTTTCAGTTTTTATCGTTCAGGAAATTGAGCATCTTAAGGTTTTGGGCTGCTGGTTGCACAAAACAAGTCTGGAAAAATGTTTACAATCCCTTGAAGAACTCATCTCTGTGTATCAAAGTCACATATTTAGATGTTTTTGCCATGAAAATATTCCCTACAGCCTTTAAATGTGAAACTACACAACAGCAAACTGTATTTTTGGAGTAATTCAGCCACATGTTCCAACCAGACAGGATTAGTTCCTTAGATTCGTCTGAATCTGTGCTTTTGAGGCTGTTTTAAGCACACCACAGTTTGAAGGTGTAAGTTGGCACTAATACGTCTTTTAGTATATTAAACATAAACACAATATGGACGTGTCAACAAGGAGGTCTTAGATATGAAGTGAAGCTGCAAGATATGAAGCTCTGGTCAAATAGAAATGCGACAGATTTACTCTCATTTCCTGCAAAAGTTGGATCCTGATCATAACTTTCAGTTTAGTTGGTAGTCGTGGCTTTTGACTCATTTGACTCAACAACAACTCGGAAACGTTTATCAGGCCCTTCTCATGAAGCTTCTTGTCCTTTTACAGTGACGTTCCAACATCAGCAATCCTCCATTTGGACACTTAACCAACAAGAAGACTTTTGGATTTACAAGCTGCAGGCAAATAAAGGTCTGACTGTAGGGGAGGGTTTGTGGTTGAAAATGCAAATACAACAATAAAGGCATCTGGGTTGTTCCATGAAAAATGAGTCAGTGCATCCGACCACACAACTACAGCGTATTTAAGTTAAAATAAACGTAGATCAGGAAATGATTTAGACACAGAACCAGTCACGTCTGGAGGATGATCTTGGTGTCAAATAGCAGGTATAGAAAGTGTTCAACCCCTCCTGGAAGTTTTCAACACTGGTCAACGTCATTTGGCTTTTTTTTTTTTAACAATAATGTTCCAGCATTTATTCCACAACTTGTGCTTTTAAACAACCTTGTCACAGAGTATCTTGGGGTGTTTAGTCTTCATGGTGTGGCTCTACCCACGAGTACTGACCAGAGTCTTTATACTACGACCACTGAGACACTTCACTGACCTCAGATTATCTTTATTTCACTAATTAGGAATGAACCAATTAGCTGAGTCACTTATTTTATATTCCTAATTAATTGACGTAGAAATCTGTTTTCACTTTGACATGAAACAAACAAAAAAAAAAAGCCAAATTGAAATGATTCAAACGATGATTCAAAGTTGGACAGCGATAAAAGAGGAATCAAACTGGGCGGGGTGAGCGCTGCTCATAGGAACCGTAGTGTTTGTGTTGACCAACCACATGACATGACCCTGAAATGCACTTCTGAATGATCAGAAAACACGTCCAATGCTTGTTCCTCAATGTCCAACAGATTAAACTGCTGCTGTTGAAGCTATGGTACATCCCATAATATTGATACGTCCCAAAATGTCCATCTGCTGCACTGATGAAGTTAAGAGGCTCAGAAATGGAGAAAAAATACAAAAAAGCGCAAAGTTTTGACCCACTTTTATGTCCACCCGACACTAAATGTAAAACCTTCTTTTATGTTGGATTGTCAAGACGGAGGTCGAGATACAAGGAGGGCTTGATGCTGGAAGGCTCATTAGTTGTTAATATTTACATTCATAGTTGTTATAATAACTAGTGTGTTGTTAGAACACTACGCATCGCTGGATTTCTGAACGGTGAGATTGTACACAGGCCGTCGGTTGACATCAAAGGTAAATACGTTCAGACAGCAGCTGAAATGACCCAAATCAGATTATTTTTTCTCCTATGCGACCTGGATCTGGTCTTTTCATGACAGTCTGAACAACACAGATCTAAGTAATGATGAATATCCGAATATTCAGCGCGGTCGGAGGGCACTTCCACCCCGGGGCAGCGCTCCAACGGGGGTGGAAGTGGTCGGAACGCACAGGCAGTACTTGGCTGCTGATGCTAGTTTAGTTAGTGGGCACAGTTCTGATTCCACCATCGGTGTTTACCTCCGTAAACACTGAGCACGCTCGCTGCGTGTGACGTCGTCGTGTCCTCTTCTGCACATGCGGGACACTTTTGGGTCGTATGAAGTTCACACAGCAGATCACATACAAGTCGCATTGAACTGGAAACGTGAAGGAACTCACAAAGAAATCGGATTCCACAAAAAATCCGAATTAAGTGTTAAGTCCTGCAGTGTGAACGTAGCCAATCTGTGGGATTGTTCAGTCAGATAATACGCCGTCATCCTGATTGGTGACATTAAATGTCATGTTGGAGTCACAATCCAAGGCTGTCGCTATGTCAAGGCTATTGGGTGGCTCATGGGTTTCATTCATTCTTCCTATAAACCTGTCGGACAGAAAGGTTTAGGATTGTTAAGGGTCGATTATCGAGTCACGACTTTACTTTAAGGGCCTTTAACTCTGAACATATTCACAGTATGAAGGTAAAACTTTGCACGAAAGTTACTGCAGATTTTTAAAAACCCAGCTGATTCTGAGGAGGAACCTTTTCAGATTTGACTGCGTTTTTATGGCATGACTGATTTTATTTGTAAGAAATAAATATGAATGAATGCACTCATGTTGAGTCCAGGTTCCCACACATCTCTGTGCAGCTCGCATGCACACATGGATTCCACAC